TTCAGAACTATAAGTACATTATTCACAATTTAAATGTATATATTCAGACTTAAAACTATATATTCAGATTTACATAGTCAGATTTCTAATTATATATTCTGATTTACTTCTATATATTCAGAATTATAAGTAGATATTCTGATTTACGTTTTAAAAGGACTAAATTGTTTGAAATTATTTTTTGTATAACTAACCTTTCACACAGTTATTACTAATACATTATTTATAATTATAATAAATTATTCATATCATTATTTATGATAATAATAATACTTTTCTAGTTTAACTTTCATGATCCAAAAAGATCTTGTTTTGCCCCATTGTACATACTTTGTGTGAAAAATTAGTATTAATATTATTATTATTATTATTATTATTATTATCATCATTATTAAGTGATAAGTTGAGTGTACATGGTTATACCTAACTTTTTAGTTAGTGATTTATTTAATAAAAGTAGTTAATAAAAAATACTATAATTAATACATGTAATTTAAAAATATATATATATTAAATTATTTTTGTGTCCACACAGTTATAACTAACTTTTCAGTTAGTCAGTTAGCTAATTAATTTAAATATGTATTTACATTTTACGTATATCACTACTCATAATAATAATAATAATAATAATAATAATAATAATAATAAATGAATACAAATTTAAATAATGATAATAATACAATTATTTTGGAATGTATTTGAAGTGAATAAAAAATATTTCATAACATTATTATTATTATTACTACTACAACTACTACATAATTAATAATAATAATAATAATAATAATAATAATTATTATTATTATTATTATTAATAATAATAATAATTTTTGAGTGGTTATAATTAACTTTTTATTTTGTTAATTTATTATCAAAACAATTTTTGTTGTTATAATAAATATCATTATTTACAACAAAAACATAAATAAAGAAATAAAAAAGCAAGCCATATTAACGTAACTCATATGGCTTTTTTTTCTACAGCACATTAAAAGATATTTTGAAGAATGTTTCATCAATACAGTGGAAGTCAATGGGGTCCAACATTTTCAAGCTTTAAAACAGACCCATTAACAATGTGTAATTGATTCAAATGATGACAGAATGCTCATGAGTGAACTATATCTTGTTAACTCTGATGCAGCGTTGCACAGTATTGCTGCATTGTCTCTTGGTAATAGCAGACCTTTTCCTCGAGACTGCGGTCTGTTTTCTTGAGGGACTTTGCTTTAATTACACCCTCACTCATAATGCAGTGTCAACAGTTCAAACGAGTTTGCCTGTCCTAATAAGGCCCATTAAAACAGACCTCTTTTTCAAAGGCCCCTGGAGTGCCAAGGCCGCATTTCTTCCATGCATTATATATAAAAAGCTATTTCAGCTGTAGGAAAAGATCAAAGGTCATTGCTAAAGAGGACACACCTCTTAATTCAGTTGAGTTATTGAAATCAAGTTGAGCCGTGTGTGTGTGTGTGTGGGCAGGTGGACTGTATCCGGGAGTGTAAGGAGGACGAGTTCCTGTGTCGGAATCGGGCACACTGTGTTGCCGCTCGCTGGAGGTGCGACAGAGTCTTTGACTGCTTGGATCAAAGTGACGAGGACAACTGTGACCAGGGTAACACTCCGAAATCTCTTACTGGGCAGCGCATTTCTAGTTCCCAGCATGCTTTGCATGGGATCAAGAAAGTAAATGTTGAAATGAAGCTGTGTTTTATTTTCAAGGGAAAGACTGTGTGTTTAACGTTCAGTAAGTTATATTAAACATGCTGTTAGCTAGTAGTTAACTGGGATGTATTCATTTGAGCCACTAGGTTTGTTTGTTTGTTTGTTTGTTTGTTTGTTTGTTTATTTCAAACTTAAATTATTTGTGTGGAAGATGCTGGTTATGATGATGATGATGATGATGATGATGATGATGATGATGATGTTTATTATTATTATTGATAATTGTTGTTGTTATTTATATATTTATTAATAATAATAATTTAATATATTATTTTTTGAGTGTACACAACTATACCTTACCTTTCAGCTGATTTTTCAATAAATAAATGTATGTACAATTAATAATATTATCTACAATACAATTAATAATAAAATCATTATTTATAACATAATAAAAATAATAATAATAACAACAATAATAATAAACAAATCTGTACACTTATAATTTATTTTATGAGTGTGCAGCATAACTAACCTTTTAGCTAATTTCTTATTTAACAAATATTATTTATTATAATAAAATGAATGGAGTCATCATTTTTCAAATTATTTTGAGTGTACACAGTTATACCTAACCTTTCAGCTAGTTATTTTATTAATATTTTTTTTATAAATATTAGGGATGCACCGATACGATACTGGTATCGGTATCGGGCCCGATACTGGTCTCCTGTATTCGTACTCGTACTCGTTAAAATGCCCCGATACCAAACGCCGATACCACACAGCATGTGATAAGCACCAAATTCAAACAAAGAAACACCAACAACAGACAGCAGAAAAGAGTTAAGGATGTCTACTACGAAGTATATGTATGCTATGAATATAATGTTAAACATTCAGTATTAACACCTGTATAGCTGATGTGCGCAGTTGATAAGCAAAGCACGCTGAGTGGATTGAGCAGATGCGCGAGCTTGTCGAGTGAATATCTTTCTCACAGACATCACTGGAAAGTTTGTAGTTCGGTCGGATATGTCAAAAACAAGTAAGTAAAACAATGCAGAAGTTACTTAACAGTAGGGAGAGCGAGAGAGAGAGAGATAGCTCACGCAATTCTGTTGTGTCATCTTTGATGTTCACTCACTGAGCACATGCATCATTTGGATTAAAACTTAATCGGAAAAATAAAACCATTCATGGGGCATTCACTATAAACATCATTTATTTTCAACCTTAGGCATACACGACTTTCTGGCGAAAGTGAATCTAGCAGCCTGTGTGAAATGCGCTAGGCTGTACTACTGTCCTCTCATTCTGCATCAGTACAAATACGTGCACGCGTTGCGCATGTGTTGCTTGCATGAGTGTTTCTGCATTATAAGAGTGGCTTTGGAAAATAAATCGCAGCACGTTTCAGATGAAAAAACGCGACTTCTATTTCTGAAAATATCACAGTTAGGAGATTTATAACGAGTGGTTCCCTGCATTATTACAGCAAAGCACGTGATTACAGAACTAAGCCTCTGCAATGGAGCAGCTCTAATGCTATTAAATTAAAGATGATGTACCATAGAGCAAAAAATGAACAGTGAAAGTAACAAAAACTTGTAAAATACCGAACCCACTACAGTCAAACCAAAAATGATTCAGAGACCAGATATAATTTTTGATATTTTTTTACTAGTGGGTGCAGGACACTATAGTTCATTTATGTAAGTGAGGATAGCAAAATAAAGTCAACTGTGACATAGTATACATACATACAGTGGACTACCAGTAAAACTGATACAAATGTGGGTCCAAAAATTATTCAGGCCGAGTCTGGGAATAAAACTGAAGTTGAGGTTTGCATGAAGCTGGATGACAGCATGACCAGGAGACTACAGGCTGTCATTAAGTCTAAGGGTCACCCGACAAAGTATTCATAGTTGTGTAAATACTGTCATACTAACAGCTGTTTGAATTGTGTTGGTTGATTGTAATCAATTACATACCTTTCTATCAAAATTATCTAACATTATCAAGATGAATTTGTTCTGACACAGTGTAACTCTGAGTTCTTGTCATATTTTATTACCATTTTCTAAACTATAGCGAATAAACTGTGATAATGGGAGAAATGTTGAAGGTGTCTGAATAAATTTTGGTTTGACTATCTATTTGATAAATTAAGTTAACCAACTAACATTATACATACCCTTTTGGTTTCTGTACCCAATATTTAAAAAATGTACAAATGCAATAAAAAATATTGGTATCGGTACTCGGTATCGGCAAATACCAAAAATAAAAGTATCGTATCGGGCGAGTACTGGAAAAAGTGGTATTGGTGCATCCCTAATAAATATAATACTATAAATATTATTTGCAATTAAAAATAATAGAAATTATAATTTATAATCATTATCATCATTTTTCAAGTTATTTTTGAGTATACAGTTATAACTAACCTTTCAGCTAGTTATTTTAGAAAGGATATTATAAATAAAATCATATAAATATTATTTACAATTAAAAACAATACAAATCATCATTTGTAATCATCATCTACATGTTTCAAATTATTTGAAGGTACAAAGATATAATTAACCTTTCAGTTACTTAAACAATATATAATATATAAAGTCAATATATAATGTCAATATAAATATAATAAATCATAAATAAATAACTGTAACATAAACATATTTTATTTATTTATTTATTTTCATACTTTTTGAGTGTACATTTATACCTAATATTTATAACTAACTAACTAACCAACCGTTACTTCTTTATTAAATATTATAAAACAGTTAAATGAAACAACAATAATAATAATAAAGTAGTATAATAATAAAGTAATAATGGTTGTAGTGGTATATTTGTTGGTTATTATTATTATTGTTGTTGTTGTTGTGTTATAATGTGTACATATTTAAAACTTTTTTTCTATACCAAAATTATAAAATAATTTACGCATAGTGCAAATGGGGCTCTGAAAACCTTAACGTCATTAACATTTACTAAACGGATACAATTATAAAGTGAATTGTTTATTTCTGAAATGTTTACTGTTTACTGTATATGCTATCTTTACAGGCCTATATGTGGTTGTTTAAGAATTGTGTGTTTGCTAGTGTCATATATTGCATAAATAGTATGTTAACTAAATGTAAGTGTTACATCAGCTGTGAAAGCCCAAATCTGTGGCGTACGACCCAGAGTGACAGACGTGTGCGACAGACTGATTTTATGCCAGTCCCTTTAAATTTCAGTTTCAACCCATGACAGACTTGAGGGATTTTCACAAACATGATCATCGGAAGAATACATTACGGCGGATCAGCCGAGTCGTGTGTGGCACAGCGCGGAAAAATCCCCAGCCTCACGAGAGAAGTCATTTCCCCAATATTTGTGAAAATTGGCGAGGATGAAAGGTTCCTTGTTGCCACTTGATATCTGACAAGCGACTACATGAAAGGCCTAATTTCAGTGTTTTGAAAAATTGCACTTGTTGATGTTGTTGCGAAGACAACGCCAGCTGTCTCACACCTGCGGCTCTTTGGAAGTGTTTGCATCAAAGATGAAGTCCTGTTTCCAAATGCCTTATTTATTTATTTGCAATTTTCTATCTCCTAAACATCATTGTGGTTATATGAAATTGCATAAGATGTCTTCAGAGTTCGCGTTTCTTTCAGACCGCACTGAGTCCGTGGATGAGTATTGACTGGATCGTCTGACTTCCTGGTGTTTTTCCACAGTCGGACACCTTTGATCTTTGTGGAGATGGCGTTTTGGTTTTACCGCTCAAGTAGATCAGGAACGTTCCTTTGTTTCTCTCCTGCTTCCTGTTATAAATAAATAATAGATTTAAATCAATATGTTAAGATAAGTTAAATATTACACAGTGTGCTCAAAATAAGCTTAGTTAACCAGATTTTGATCTTTTTGGAAGAAAATACGAGTGGTGAAATTTGGAATGTAGATGCAAAAGGGTTTGGCCTGGTTGCTAGGGTGATTCTATGCAGTTGCTAAGGTGTTTATTTATTTATTTTTGTATTGTAATATTTTTTATTAGGTTTTTTTCCCTGTGATTTTGGTCTTATTAAATAAAAATAAGATACAATAAAAATAAATATCACATGGTTGTGTAGGAAATAAAATGAGAAATACAGACATTAAAAATAATGTTATTAGAACTTTTCTATAAAATAGAATCAACAAATAGGTTTGTTTATTGATTGGTTGGTTATTTATTGGTATATTCTTTTCTCTTCATATGAGATGATTCTATTATTATTTTTATTTACATTTTATTTATTTATTCATTCATTTCTTTATTTGTTCGTTTGTTTATTTGCTTGTTTGCTTGTCTATATTTTTCCCCCACATATTGTAATATGTATGTATTTATTTATTTATTTAAATAAATTTCATCATCAGGGTTTATAGAAGGTTTTGTCGCTGTTGGAAAAGGACGTAAAAGTGTCTTTTCAGTTGATGGTGAAGCATCTCAGTGCCAGCTGGGGTTTATCTATTTATTTCAACAACAAAAATAGCTTTGAAATAAATCTTTACAAATAGCACGAATGGTTAGGCATCTTATAGAAATCTATATGAATGCGCAAATTGCTTCAGATACAAACCAAATGAAATATCTTCTTAAAATTACAGGATACATTCATGTGAAAATAACATGTGAACTATTTCGTTTCAATATTTAATTGTAGATGAAATTCATATTTATTTCAAAAACATCAAAATGCATCAAAATTGTCCTTGTGTAGGAATATGCAAGGTTGCAGGTAAGATATAGTTCAATAAATGCAAATGCGTTCACAAGTCATGCAATTATATGTTCAAAAACTTTCTCTGAATAAGGTGCAAATTAGTGTCCTGTTACTTTTTTGAAAGCAGCAGGAGCCCAACCCGCATGTTTTTTGAAGTGACAACTATTGCATATATTAAACTCTTATTTTACATCAAATTAACAGCATGCAAACTTGTCAAACACATCAAATGTACATAAAACTGCAACAACCAATAAACACTTTCATTTGAATAATGTATGTAACAACTCAGTTTTTACATGTGTTGTGTTGTTAAAATATAATAAATAGTCAAATCTTTTGTTTGCAGAGTCGTTGACTTGCCGCGCAGACGAGTTTGTTTGCAACAACACGCTGTGTAAACTGCTGGTCTGGCTGTGTGATGGTGAGGATGACTGCGGAGACAACTCTGACGAAGACTCAAACATGTGTGGTACGTTTATGACTAGTGGTTCTTTTCCACTGAAGTCAGACTGTATAAAAGTTTGTTTGTTTATGTGGTTTGATGTTTAGTTTGGTTTGTTATTTGTATGTGTGTATGTTGCACTTTGTTTTAGTTTTGATTTATTTATATATTTATTTTTGTTTTGCTTTGGTTGTTTTATTTATATATATATTTATTTTGAAAACATTTTATACTTATTTAACTTCTTATAAAACTTGTTTTTTTTTTCATGTACGATTGTTTTCCCATTGACGTCACATAAAAATTAATTAATTTATTCACTAATTCATTAAAATAAATATTATTTATTTATGTATTTAAAAATATATTTATACGTTAGTATTATTATATTTATTTTTATCGTGTGTGGTACATTTATGGCTAGTTTACTTGGCATGTTTCTTTTCCCACTGAAATCATTTATTTATTTATTTTCATTTATTTATTTATTTTATTTATTTATTTTGTAAAGTTTTTTTGTGTCTTTTGGTTCAGTTTGGTTTTGTTCGGGTGTATTTGGTTTGTTTTTAATTTTGTTTGGTTTAACATTTTATTTTCATTATGTTTCATTCATTTTTGTGTTGTTGTTGTTTCCAGCTTATTAAAATTTGTTTTGCTTTGGTTATTTATTTATTTTAATTCCACATCTCTTTCCACTGACATCACATTTAAAAAAAAATTCTCAATCAGTCATTAATTCATTACAAATAATAATAATAATAATATTTGTTTCTGTTAAATATTGAATTTATTTTAAAAATACATCTATCCAAAAATAATTTCCTTCCCTTTTTTTTTTTTTTTTTTTTCTTTCAATTTCAGTGTGCAAAGTCAGCACAGATGAAGTACCATAGGTACTTGGCTTCCTCTTGAATTGTAAAATAATTTATACATTTGTTTTCTGATTTCTAAGAAATGTATGATGTCATATTTAAATGAAATGATTACATTTGTTTTTAATATGTTGAGCATGACAGGTTTAGTGGTAGAGTGTTTAGTTAAGGAGCATCAGTATCTGGTTTGAAATGCGTCACATTTATAAAGTCACGTGAGAATGAGCTCACAAGAGAAAAAAAAAAGAGCAGAAAATCAATACAGGACACTTTGACCATCCTGAACACACATTAAACCTGACACTGTACACCTGAACTGTTGTAAACGGTGATTTTTCTCTGAAAATTGTTTTCGCTGTAGGCCTGGCAGTAAAATGCCTGAAAAATTGCTCTTGGAGCACTTTACAAACACTTCACCAACATTTGAAACGTACAAACCACAGAAAAAAGCAAAATATCACTTCTGAGATAAAAAACGAGGTTGTGATTACTCTGCGTATGTTTCGACTCGCAGGAAAGTTGCCATGTCCTCCAAACAGACCCTTCCGCTGCAGGAATGACCGAGTATGTCTGCGGACCGAACAAATCTGCAACGGAGCGAACGACTGTGGCGACAATTCAGACGAAGACGACTGTGGTGAGTGGGGGACTTAAGTTCTTAAGGACTTAAGTCTATTTCCTTTTCTAAACCATCTCTCTTTCTGTCTTTTCTCTAGCGGATGTGGTCAAAAGGCCAAGGCCGTGCAGGAAGACCGAATTCTCCTGTGCCAATCACCGCTGCATCCCAGCCGAGCTCCAGTGCGACGACTTCGACGATTGTGAAGACGGCGGATCGGATGAGCGCGACTGTAAGGCATGTAAGTGTACTTCCTTCTGTAATCCTTCTTCCTTCACGTTGGGCTTCTGTATTTTGTGGAGTAAAACCTTTACAGTGTCTCATTTTGTCCCCTGTGGGTCACAGATTCTGTCGATGGTGCGTGTCGAGGACGGGCCGACTTGTGCGGAGACGACGCTTTCTGCAACCATACGAAAACACCTTCAGTCTGTCAATGTAAAGCTGGATTTCAGAGAAACCAGAAGACCAAGCAATGTGAAGGTAGAGAATTTGTACAAAAAAACACCAAGACGACAATTTCCAGTCTTCAGATATTCAGAATTTTTGTCATTATTCATTATGAACATACACATACATTCACAACTCTCAAATTCGCTTAAGTGATTTTATGTTGTATTATTAGTATTATTTTTTTATTAATAATGGTAATAACAACAATAATACATTAATAGTAATCATCGTTGTTATTATTATTATTATCATGATTATAAAAAGTTACAATTATTACAAAATGTAACAATTATTGATACATCAGTAAAAAAAATTAGTTTATAAATATTGCATATTATTCGGATTGTATTATTTATCTTAAATTATTAAATAATTGTATAATTGTTATGTAATAAAAATTTAATATTATGATTACTTGATTGTTGAATTAGTATCTAAATAACATTGCATATTAATAAAAAATAGTAATCAAATTTAATTAATAACTTTTGTATTTTAATTGCTAATGTAGATAGATTTTAGGTTTAGAAATGTTTATATTACATACACTCACACACATATAATATAAAATGCATATAAATATGTATATTAATAAAAACAGTCAAACGTTTATTTATAAAAATGCAAACTATGCTCTATACAAGAATACAAGAATATTTTATTAATATGCAATATTATATATATATATATATATATATATATATATATATATATATATATATATATATGGTATAAATAATATTGCATATTAATAAAATATTATTTTAAGAAATAATGCATATTAATTAAAAAAATTTAAAACATCACATTTTTATTTTTTAGTTCTGATTTCTGTGCGGCATCACTTTGTATAGGTTATATTTTTTTTACATAATTTTAGGCAGATTCTGATTCAGATACTGATTCTGCAGTATATTGAAGTATGCTGAGCATTTTATGATTTGAAATGATTTATAATTGGTCAGTTTTTCTTTTTGTCAACAAGGTTCTCAGACATGATTCAAAGATTTATCAAGTGTAGGTCATTTCCACTTGCGTTTTGAGCATTAGCTGATTTATGATATAATAAATCATTCTGTAAAAGCCTTGCATATCTATTGGTTTATTATTTATAACCAAATACTTTTGGTGAAATATTTTGCTTGAAAAATGTACCAGTGCTATTTTTCTTTAAAATAAATGACATCCGGTTTGGTATTTTGTGATAAAACGCAAAGACACAATGCAAATACTTGCCGCTAGCGCATCCCAGTCTTTTGTACAAAGCCTACAATGCAAAAGTCTCTTTGTATTCAGTTCCAGCTCTGGCATTAATCTGTTGGAGGTATGTCAGCGGTCGCTTCAGGGTCACCTCACTGAGCATAACAGGAAGTCTAGAAATCAGCAGGCGCTGAACGCAGATAGCTGAGATTCAGCCGAAATTCCAAACAGTGACATCCCTGCAGCGCTGTTAAAAATGTCACTGGAGAACGTGTGGGAGAGGCTGATGGATGGACGTGTTCCTCTCTTTCCTCAGAGGTGAACGAGTGTCTGTGGTTCGGAAGCTGCTCGCAGTACTGCACCAACACCAAGGGCTCATACAAGTGCACTTGTGACCGAAACTTCAAGGAGATCCATGGGGAATGCATCACAAAAGGTAAAATAAGTTAATACAAATAACATCAAAATGATTCGGTATTATGATATTCTATTACATTTTTATATAAATAAACAGTTTTAGGCTGAGGTTAAGTTGCTTTGATTCAAAACACTTCAGGTTTCAAGCTAACATTTGATTTGTTTGGAAGTTCTTGAGTTGTTGTTTAAACATTAATAATTAAATACATTTATTTAGTTTTTGCTTTTTGGTCTGTTTTATTTATTTTTGGGTATGGTTTTGGTCTTATTTTTGTTTTGGTTTGTTTTTTTGTTTGATGTTGTTTGTTTTTTTTGTTTGTTTTTTTTTACTTTTTTTTGTTTGTTTTTTTTACTTTTTGCTTAATTTTTTTGCTTTTTTTGTTGTGTTTAATTTATTTTGGTTTGTTTGTGGTCTTTTGGTTTTCTCATTTTGCATGTTTTTTCTCTTTTGTTTTGTTTTTTTCATCTTTTGTTTTGCTTTTTTGTTCGGTTTATTTTTGTTTATCCGTTTCCGCCACTGAATAATAATATAAAAAAAAAGTAATTGCGACTTTTTATTTCACAATTCTGACTTTTTTACATTGAATTGTGAGATATAAACTCGCAATTGCAAGTTATTAAGTCAGAATTACGCGATATAAAGTCAGAATTCTGACTTTTGTTCACTGAATTGTGAGATATAAACTCGCAATTGCGAGTTAAAGTCCAATTTTGAGGGGGGGGGGGAATACTTATGTTCTCAGAATTGAATTGAATTATACCATGCAGTTCTGAGAAAAAAAGTCAGAATTGTGAGAGAAAAAGTCGCAATTACCTCTTTTATTTTTAATTCAGTAGCGGAAATGGGCTTCCATATTTTTTTTTTTATTTGATTTTTTTTTTTTTGCTTTTGTTTTTTTTTCACTTTTTGCTTTGTTTTTGTCTTGTCTTTTTTGTGGTATTTTGGTTTTGTCTTTTTGTATTTTTTGTTTGTTTCATCTTTGAAACAAAAAAGGGGGGGGGTCTGTCTGTTTTTATGTGGTGTTTTGTTTCGTTCATTGCTGTGTTTTGATAGATTTATTTGTTTGTTTGCTTTGGTTTTTCCCTGGGCTTGCTGTGCTTTTATTTGATTTGTTTACTTAATTAGTTTTACTCCTATATCTCTGTGCTTAGGACCAGAAGATCAGATTCTCTATGTAGCCAATGACACCGAAATCCGCAGTTTTGTGTATCCATACAACCAAACTCACGGACACACTCAACTGGCCCGAATCTCAGACAGCGCTCGCATCATCGGCATGGACGCGCTATTTCACCATCACAAGTTTGTGTGGGCCACTCAGTTTAACCCCGGGGGGATCTTTTACAAAGACCTCCAGGACAGAAACCCAATCACATCAAACAGTGGAGTCATAGTAAGTGAATAACAACTAATAAGACCGATTTCAACAGTTCTGTTACATTGAACCTCTAAATTTTTAACAATTCTTTCAGATTCTATTTGAAATTTTCCTCAGGAAACCACAGAAACCAGCATGGTAACATCTTACCAAAGCACTTTTGAAACTTCAATGTGCTCTATATTTGCAGTGTCCAGACTTCCGGAGGCCCCGGGACATCTCGGCCGATTGGGTGACGGGGAACCTGTACTGGACGGATCACTCCCGAATGCACTGGTTCAGCTACTATACGGCACATTGGCGCCGACTTCGCTACTCCATTAACGTGGGACAGCTGGGGGGTCCCAACTGCACCCGGCTCATCACAGATATTGATGGGGAACCTTTCGCTATTACCGTTAACCCTGTATGCGGGTAAGTGTCTGTTTTTGAGTCCTGGCTGTTGTATCAGGCAACATGTGTATGATATCCTCCATCGTTCTTTAGGATGGTCTACTGGACTGTGATTGGTGACCACTCTCACATTGAAGAGGCCGCCATGGATGGGTCCTTGCGTCGCATTTTGCTGGAGAGGAACTTGCGTAGACCGACGGGTGAGATTATTGCATGCCAGTCATCCTCTTTAAAATATTTTGTAGTGTAAAATATGGGACTCACAAAAAGCATGTGCCAAATGTTACGCTAAAAGGGAGCATTTCAACATGTCTGTCACTGTCACTTAAAATGTGAAGCACCAAAAACGTCCTGGTAAGAATGTAATTTCAGTCGTCTAAAAGTGAAGTCCCTTATAAAATTTAAAGTTTGAGTGAAACTATTTCATGTGTACAATGTTCCAAGGTGAAATTCTTGCTACTGTTAATGGAAAGGCCTAATGTTGTTTTAGTTTTCTGGTAATAGAAACTATTTTTTTTTTTAATGTAATGAATAAATGTAAGGAAAAGGTTTTCACTAATGTGACCAAGAAAAATTATATTTAATTAATAGAAAATTTTAATAAATAAACAAAAATCACAGTATTTATTATAATGTTATTATTAATATTTAATATTTTTAATATAATATAATATCATTTATTTTTTGCTTTTTGTTTTGTTTAATTTATTTATTTTTGTTTTGTGGTGTTTTGGTTTTCTCATTTTGTATGTTTTTTTTCTCACTTTTTTCATCTTTTGTTTTGCTTATTTTTTTTTTTTCTGTTTTGTCAGCTTTAATTTGATTTAATTTTAATCTTTTTGTGCTTTGGTTTGTTTTTTTCTTTTGTTTTGTCTTTTGTTTTGTTTCACTTTTTGCTTTGTTTTTGTTTTGTATTTTGTTTGTGGGGTTTTGGTTTTGTCTTTTTGTATGTTTTTGTTTTTCATCTTTTCTTTTGCTTTTTTTAAATGTACTTTTTGCTTTATTTATTTATAATATTTTTAAAATAATATAATCATATTGTCTTTTTTATTGTAATTTATATATAATCATATATATTATATTTATTGATGTATATACGATAATTAACATTTTATTTTATATTTGTTTTAATGATATGATTATATATTTGAAATAATAATATATAATAGTATGAACATTTTATCTTATATTTGTATTAATTGTATTATATAAATCATATAATATATACATTTTATAATTATGTTATATGAATTTTATATTTCAGATAATAATTTATAATTTTGTATAATGAAATTAATATAATTATATAATGTAATATAATTGTATTGTAATAACATTTTATAATGTAATTGTCTATATCTTTTCAGGACTTGCAATTGACTATTACAACCAGCGGCTGTACTGGTCAGACTCTGAGCTGTCTCAGATCGGAAGCGTGCGTTTCGATGGCTCTGATTCGCTGGTGGCTGCTAGCAGTCGAGATGGTGAGTTTGCATTTGTTGGAAATTGTACAATATTCAGAATCTGCCTCCAGGTATTTATCTTTTTTTTTATAAAAAAAAAAAAAAAAACATCTTCAGCTCAGGCCAGCCCTTGATTCCAACATGTGAAGGACTGCAAAAGCTAAGCTGAGTGTAGTTTATATAAACTCACAGATTTCCATTTCGATTCCCTCAGACTGTGATTGGAAAAATGCTATTTTAGGGAAAGCATCAAAGTTGAGGGTGAATTTGAATCCAAAACTCTTGCAAAACCTAGTTAACTGTCTGCTGTCGACATAGACAGCTACTTTCTAAGCCAACTTAGAAGGAAGTGCATCAAAATCATTCAACCTTAATGACATTATATTCCATTTTTATATAAAGACATTGGTTTATGATTATTTCAGGTGCTTCAATTAAAAAAAAAAGTTTTGATTTTAGTCTAATACCTTTCGTTTTGTTAATTAGTTAAGTTGCTACTTGAACATTGATGTTCCAGGAAATGTTTTTGTGTAGTTTTATTTTTGTTTGTTTCTGTTTTTGTTACAGTTTGATGTTTTGTTTTTTGTTTTATTTTGGGCATTTGTTTGGTTTGCTGTTTTGTTTTCATTTGTTTTGCGTTTCTTTTTGTTTTGATTGTTTGTTTTGCTCTATTAGATTTATTGCAATGCATTCTGAAATTGCTTCCTTTGCTAAGTAAAAAAATGCAAATGCAGTGCAAAATCTTAAAGCACAATACAATTTTGCTGTCTGCTTTTTGGAATGTCGGGACCATGTTTATGATGCTTTAAAATGCTGTCTATATATGCCACTCGCTAGGTTTTGGAACAGAGATTTTTTAGTTTTTTTTTTTTCTCAGTTCTGGGCCTCGAACTTGAATATCCTTTACCATATGCTTAAATCCCTGTAAAGGCAATATTAAATATGTGTTCTGAGTTTGTCACACCACAGAAAAATGTATTATTAACCACTCAGCCAAATTTTAATGATGAAAAAATCCGCCAAGTAAATAAAATCAGTGATCAAAATCTTGAAAAAATGGGCGGTATCCTCTGCTCTCAAATGCTGGGGGCATGTCCGCTTTTTGCACTGAAACCACACAAGCACAAAAGTTAACTTACACTCAATGGTGGGCACGTACTGCCGACGATGGCACCAGTTGTCGGCAGGACGGGAGGATGAAGGCCGAGGTGCGAAATAGTTGGTTCTGCCCCGTTTACCAGTAACAGCGGATTATCAGTGAATCCCAGTTGTCTCCAATGAAAGTTTATAAATTTATCCGGTGTAAAATGATCACTGCAGAGGCAGGTTTTGGTGGTGATCCTCAGCTCTCCATCAAGGTGGCTCTTCACAAAATTAATCCAACTCTTTTTGATATAATCATTATTAGGAAATTTAAATAAGGACACCGAGCTGTTTTGTATGTTATCGCAACCAGGAAATACGCATTTCAGTGACAAAGGCATAGCTAGCTAGCTGTGTGTGTAGGCTGTGTGTTACTAACGGTACTGACAACTCGCGATTGAGTGGGTGAACTGATGCGAATGTGCTCTAGTTATAGTGTTAGGGGAGGGGCCATGGCTCGGGGGCTCCAGTGCATCATCGAACCCCCTTTTTTGCCCCGCCCAAAAAAATCCTGAACACAGAATTGGTGAAAAACTGTTTAACGGTCTAACTCCACTATTCAGTACTACATAGTTCAAAGTCTTTGTAATGTGTTTCATCAATACATTTGTAACATTTATAATGCATTCAGAAACAATTCTCAGAATTGACTTTACAGGGACTTTAAGAGGTGTGTGCCAGTGTTTTTCTACTCTGTGACATTTTCAAATAACATTACTGTTTTGTTTTGCATTATTGAATCTGGATGCGTTCTCACAGTTGTACATGAAATATATTCAGTGTGAATGAATGGCAGAAACTTACTTGGTTTTGTTTCAGGAATTTCTCAACCCTTCCGAATTGACCTGTTTGAGGACTACATCTACGGGGTCGGCATGAAGCACGATGTCTTCAGGGTTCATAAATATGGGAAGTCGCCTGCCGAGAAGCTCAGTCTGGGTGTGGAGAGAGCGTCTAGCATCTTGGTCTTCCATCGGTACAAAGAACAGGAGGGTGAGTCCCAAAATGTGTCTCAATCGAAAAGAATGATTTAAAGGGGTAGACTTTTGTCAACATTTACTCACCCTCATGTTGTTTCAAAACCTTATGACTTTGTTTTTCCTTGGACAACACAAGCTAAGCTTCTGTTTTCCATAAAAACGAAAAGGTATAATGAGCAGAAATGTAAAAACACATGTTTGGAAGGACATTAGAGTTATTATATGATGACAAAAGTTTCATTTTTCAATCAAATTTTCCTTTAAAACCATTATGGTTGTGCATCTTCCAGAGGACCGTTCCAGTGTGAGATTTCTTTGGCAGTCGTCAGAGTTTAATTTCATGTTTAGATTGTTGAAATCTGATTGGACTTCTCGTCTGTGGCCAGCTAGTGCTAATTACAATCACATGTTACTGTCAAATGTTTTTATTATACGATTACCGGCTCTAATCAGATGAATGAAATGTTTTGTTTTGTTAGATTTGCAGAAGAGCAATTGAAAATATGGAGTCTCTGATGTTTTGAAGTCATGAAATTAAATCAAAATCTGGCCCTACTTATATTCTGAACAAATGTATCTGGTCTTATTTTGCACGATTTGGTAGTGCACATTAGTAAAGTAAAGTAAAGTAAAATGTAGTATTTATACAACAATAAATGTACTGATAAATATAAAAAATATTAAGATTTTTTTTTTGTGTGCATATGTAATATTATAGATTTGTGTGTGTGTGTGTGTGTGTGTGTGTGTGTATATATATATATATATAATGTTCAAATTTGTTGCAAATAGTCATATAATAATCATATATCAAATAAACCTGCTGTAATATCTAGGAATCTGTTACCAAAGATTGTATTTTATTGATGTGCATGTTTAAAATTATTTGTGCTTTTAATGTTATATAAATATATATTTTTATTTTTAATATAACAATACAACTGCTGTAAAATAGAAAAATATATTAGGAATTGAAATTTTATGTTAATCTGTATAACATTCAAATATTTAATATTATTGATATTTATTAGTGTGTGTGTGTATACATTTTAAACAGGAAATGTTATGTATAATATTATACATTTGATTTATATATTAATCATAGTATGTCTATTACTAAAGACAATTATTTATATACATGTAAAAAATATTTTCTTTAAAAAAAAAAAAGAAATGTGCAACTCCATTCCACGTTATTTGCTCATAGAACATTTTTAATTTATTATAAACGTTCCTTTCTTTTTGTCAGTTTTATCCATTCTGACAGCAGCTGTGGATTTATATTCTGGAGTCTTTTAAGTTTATTTCCCTGTTTTGTGACCGGTGTGACCCTTCTCCAATTTATCCTTTAGTCTCTTTATGCATGTTTTCATTCCTCTTCCTTCCATTACGATTTTTCACTTTACTCTCTCCTCTTATCCTCCGCTGATCTCTCTCTCTGTTATAAAGAAGGAGGGATGGAGGGATCTTAGCCTGTGTTGTTTGTCTTTGTGCTGGTGTAATGGGAAGTGTCATCACTCCCTGATGTGCTTTTACACTGCAAAGCTTTATTGAAGATGCTCTTCAAAACAACCTGCAAAAGCTAAAATAAAAAAGACAAACAAATAATATCTCTCACATGCACACATTACACCACCTACTAAAAGCTTTTAGAGAGATAGTTTGTTATATGCTAGGATAGTTTCATCTTTCTGGCCAACGGTATGAAAGACGCAATGTTCTGCTCTTTTGTAGCATAATGTTTCTCTGATCTCCACATGTAATGTTTTTTGCCCTGTAATTTAGACCATTTTTACTCTCTCTGGCCCTTAGAACTAAACAGCCTGCTTTGCTACTGTAAAGACCATATGCAAATGACCCTTTTATAATTTTACATTTTGCTACATTTGTTTAAATTTAATTATTTATTTTATTTTACATATTTTATTTCATAATTTAGCTAAATGTCTTTCTACACTCTGAATTGATTTTTATTTAAACTTCAGGAGCTTGACAGAGGGGTCTTTAGAGGTGCAGTCGTTGGTGTACAGAGAGAAGAGCAGTGGGGAGAGAACACAACCCTGAGGAGCTCCAGTGCTGATTATACGGGTGCTGGATGTGTATTTTCCCAGCCTCACTAGCTGCTGCCTGTCTGTCAGGAAGCTGTTGATCCACTGACAGACAGAGGTGAGTTAGTTTGGGCAGGAGGAGGTTTGGGATGATGGTGTTAAAGCCAGCACCAGTTTTTCAAAAGACTTCATGACCACAGACGTTAGAGCCACAGGTCTGTAGTCATTAAGTCCAGTAATTTTGGGTATCTTTGGGACGGGGATGATGGTGGAGCATTTGAAGTATGAAGGGACTTCGCACAGCTCCAGTGATCTGTTGAAGATCTGTGTGAAGATGGGGGCCAGCTGGTCAGCACAGGATTTCAGACAGGCTGGTGTAACACAATCTGGGCCTGGTGCTTTTTTCCTTTTCTCCTTTAGCTTGTTTATTTACATTCTACTCTGGTTTGTTTGGTTTTGATTTATTAATTTAATTCAACATTTTGCTACAATAAGATTTACTGTATTTTTTAACTGGTTTAATTATGTTTTGTTGTTGTTGTTGTTGTTGTTTTGTTTTGTGTTGTTGTAACAATTTAACTAAATATTTTGTTACATTAAAGATTCACTGACTTTTTGAACTGGTTTATTAAGTTTTGTTTTGCTTTTGTCGTTTTGCTGTAATAATTTAACTAAATATTTTGCTACGATAAAGATTCACTTACTTTTTGAACTGGTTTCATTACGCTTTGTTTTGTTTTGCTGTAAAAATGTAATTAAATATTGTGCTACACTAAAGATTCACTGACTTTTTTTTCCATTACGTTTTGTTTTGCTTTTTTTTCATTTTGCTGTAAAAATGTAACTAAATATTTTGCTACACTAAAGATTCATTGACTTTTTGAACTGGTTTCATTACGTTTTGTTTTGCTTTTTTTTCATTTTGCTGTAAAAATGTAACTAAATATTTTGCTACACTAAAGATTCATTGACTTTTTGAACTGGTTTCATTACGTTTTGTTTTGCTTTTTTTTCGTTTTGCTGTAAAAAAAATTAACTAAATATTTTGCTACACTAAATATTCATTGATATTTTGAACGGTTTCATTACGTTTTGTTTTATTTTGTTTTGCTGTAAAAGTTTAACTGAATATTTTGCTACACTAAATATTCACTGACTTTTTGAACTGGTTTCATTATATTTTGTTTTGCTTTAACAATTTAACTAAATATTTTGTTACATTAAAGAGTCACTGACTTTTTGAACTGGTTTCATTACGTTTTGTTTTGTTTTGCTGTAAAAATTCAACTAAATATTTTGTTACATTAAAGATTCACTGACTTTTTGAACTGGTTTCATTACGTTTTGTTTTGCTTTTTTTTCGTTTTGCTGTAAAAATGTAACTAAATATTTTGCTACACTAAAGATTCGTTGACTTTTTTAACTGGTTTTGTTTTGTTTTGCTGTAAAAATTTAACTAAATATTTTGCTACACTAAAGATTCACTGAATTTTTGAACTCGTTTCATTACGTTTTGTTTTATTTTGTTTTGCTGTAACAATTTAACTAAATATTTTGCTACACTAAATATTCGTTGACTTTTTGAACTGGTTTCATTACATTTTGTTTTGTTTTGCTGTAAAAATGTAACTAAAAATTTGCTACACCAAAGATTCACTGACTTTTTTAACTGGTTTCATTACGTTTTGTTTTGCTTTTTTTTTCGTTTTGCTGTAAAATTTAACTAAATATTTTGCTACACTAATTATTCACTGATATTTTGAACTGGTTTCATTACGTTTTGTTTTATTTTGTTTTGCTGTAACAATTTAACTAAATATTTTGTTACATTAAAGATTCACTGACTTTTTAAACTGGTTTTATTAAGTTTTGTTTTGCTTTTTTTAGTTTTGCTGTAAAATTGTAACTAAATATTTTGCTACACTAGAGATCCACTGATATTTTGAACTGGTTTCATTACGTTTTGTTTTGTTTTGCCATAAAAATGGAACTAAATATTTTGCTATACTAAAGATTCACTGACTTTTTGAACTGGTTTCATTACGTTTTTTTTTACTTTTCTTTTTTTCGTTTTGCTGTAAAAATGTAACTAAATATTTTGCTACACTAAAGATTCACTGATATTTTGAACTGGTTTCATTACGTTTTGTTTTACCGTAACAATTTAACTAAATATTTTGTTACATTAAAGATTCATTGACTTTTTGAACTGGTTACTTTTTTTTTTTTTTTTTGAACCAGGAATTTTTACTCGAACTGTCCATTTAAACCATTCAAAAGAGCAGAAAGCATTATATATTCCATGCATGTTCATTTCCTCTTCTCTTCCTCTCTTTTTTTAGTGTGTCACCCATGAGTTAAGGAAACTGCTACATATATATATGTTAAACTTTAGTTAATATTTTGCTACTGGAATGCACAATTTTTAACTGGTGTATTTGTATTTTTTTATTACCAATTTAACTCTCTCTCTCTCTCTCTCTCTCTCAGTGTCCAACCCATGTGCAAAGATGCATTGCGCTTTCCTTTGTCTCCTGAACCCCAGTGGGGCCAGATGTGTGTGTCCTGAGGGGAAAATTCTGCTGAACAGGACCTGCACGGACACCAACATCTCAGGTACATCTGTCAAAACGCACTCGGCAGGATACTCTTATATCACTAACAGAGCGCTAGCGCGACCCTGAGAGGCCCCGGCATGTCAAACTCAAATGTTTCACTTGAGTGATTTTGACTGAAGTGTTTACTATTCTGGGCCCTTTGCCCACACAGGCAATACACCTGAAGCCTGTATGCTAAAAAAGAGAGCAATTGTGTTGCTAGTATTGATTCAGTCAGAGTGGATGACTTATTTGATTAGCGGTACTTGCTAAAGCGAGCCTTCTGTATCTTTGAACCACCTTAGTCAGATGTAGCCTAGAACCATACAATAATTAATGGACTGTATAGTTTATTTATTTATTTATTTATACATTCTAAAATTTATCAATATACAACAAATGAGGCAAAACCAGTTATAAAACTTACATGTTAGAAACAAGCAGAATGCATATAACAACATAAATATACATTTTTGATACAAAAAAATGAAATGTTAAGACTGATCAAAGAAATCTAAAATCAAAATATAACTTGCCGATACATATTTTCATGCATCAAATAGTTGAAAAATCTAAATAAATACAAAAAGTATGCCCCCCCCCCCACAAATTATTAAATAAATAAACAAACATTTTAGAAAAAGGTCACTTTAAAAAAAGTCAGTTACCGCAATAACTTTCTGCATTTTGATGAGCTAATAGTTCATTTTGAAAAAAAAATTTAAAAATACATTTTGAAAAAGAGTCTTTCGGTCTTTATAAATTTGTCTGTATAAAAAAACTATTGAGCAATAATTAATATATAGTTTAGAATATAATCATTATGTGTATTACTGTGTTTTCCAGAATACATCAAATGAATACAAATGCTATGTAACAAATAAATGTAATCAATATTAATCTTTACTAAAATCTGTCAATTCAAAATTGATACTTTGTATTTTACAATTTAAATTAAATTCATTTATTTTAAACAAATAAAACTGGTTCATAAAAATAGTTTCTTGTCATTTTTAGAGCTTAAACACTCTTTAAGTTCAGTTGCATTAATTACATTCAGTTGTATTTATATATATAGATGAAAACCACAATTTTCTGTTTCAAACTTTCACATAGCATCTTTAGGTTATAATAATATTAAAAACTCAAATCCAGATTTTGATTTTCAAAGATTTATTATAAAAACTGAATTTTTTCCCCCGAAATGCAATAAATCCATTAAATCAATATAAAAGTTGCGTTTCATATTGAAACAAAAATACAAAACAAAGTAAGTTGATCCACATATGACAGCCTCTGAATTTGGTCCATGCTAATCTTATTAATAGCTCACGTTTCTTCCCCACCGCAGAAACCACCACAGGTTCATCAATGCCGTTTTTTTAGGGCTGCACAATTAATCGCATGCGATTGTCATGCGCATCTTGTCAGTAAAGCCAGTTCTGTGATTAGTAGTAAATCTCCATCACGTGCTTTCAGATGGAGCTGCATTCACTGCACAGAGTCGTAGATCACTGACAAGCTACGCAATATCACGTTCATAATCGAAGGCGATTCATCTGCGATTATGAACGCGATATTGCGTAGCTTGTCAGTTACTGTTTACACTGCGTGGAATGGTGCACTGTGATTGGTTGAGCAGATGTATTGCATTCTGCAAAGAAGGGAGACTGGCGTTTGTCGTGAAAACATGACAGAATATCACGCCAGATATCGCATTTTGCGTAAAATTAAAAATGGACTTTTCAATACTGACCAGATACAATACTGATTTTGGCGGTAACTCAAATTTTTTTTAAATAGCGTTTATCACGTTTTGGAACCAAACTCTTCTCATATATATATATATATATATATATATATATATAAATCCCCAATTTATCCAGAAAACTTTTTTTTGTTAGCCAATTACCCATCTTTGATGACTGATTTCATTTAAAGACTGTGAGTCATGAGTCTAGTGAGCTCAAAATACATCAGAAATCAGAACTAAAAAATAAAAATTTGTTGTTTTACATTTTTTAATTAATATACATTATTTCTTATAAGAATATTATATTAATATGCAATATTATTTATATAATTTATATAAAAAAATATATTCCCTGTATACTGATTTAATAAGCAACTAAATACATGAAAAAATGTCCTTACTAATTATAATTAGCCTTAATGAAGGATTTATGTTTTAGGAGATCTTTGTCATCCGGCCTGCGAGAATGGAGGTCGGTGTATCACCAATGAACGAGGGGAATCACGCTGCTTCTGCTGGCCAAATTACTCTGGGGAACGATGTGAGATCAGCCACTGTAAGGACTACTGCCTCAATGGAGGCACTTGCACGGGATCTCCATTAGGTAGGCGCTATTTCCCATCTGCAACTGGACATCATTTGTATCGTGAATATTGCTATGCCTCCTTTCTACTCATGTTTCATCTTAAGTATGTTCTTCAATTTGTGGTAAACAAGTACACTAGCTATTTAGAAAAATAAACTTTCTTAGCAAAATTCTTATTTGTTGCGTAATTGACACACAAAAAAAGACTACTAATTTATGTAAAAAAATATATAAACTATTCTACACATAAATATTGAATTGTTTCAGGTTTAATTTTTTTCTCTCGTTTTGGTTTAAAATGTAACAATTCATATTTTATGATCAGAATCGTGTATTGTGCAAAAACATACACATAACGATCAGGTACAAACATGGTTTTCTTGGCGCCCCTCGTCTTCTCTCAGAATTCAAAGTAGGCCACAGGCAGACATCTGATTCAGGAGGGATTTCTCAGTCTTTTTGCTTTCTGTCTATTCAGTGAAGAAATGCAGCAGAGATATACAGCACCTGTGCTGCCTTGGGTTGTTTCAGGTCATCCTGAGTTCTCTGAAAAGTGTGAAATGATAAACAAGCAAGGATATTGTGAGATTGCACATAACAAGCACCAAATTAACCCAGATTTGCTGAAGGTAGGCATTGTTCTTATAGATGTTAGACTCAGTAATAGCTTTTTCTTAAGGAATAAACCAGAAAAATTACAGTTCTATCAGCATTTACTCACTCTGATGTCATTCCAAAAATGTATGACATTCTTTTCTCTGTGAAACACAAAAAGAGAACTTTAGCAGAATGTTCATGCTGCTCTTTTCCATATAATGAAAGTAAAGGGCGATCAAGAGTTGTTGGCTCCAAAAATTAATTGAAGTGGCTCAATTGACTTGCAGAACCTTTGCACACGCGGATATTGCAAGACATATTAGAGCGGTAACGTTATTGTTGTTGTTTTTTTGGCTAAATCACATTTTAGATACGATGTCAACAACCGCTTAATGCTCAGGAACAGAGTTAAAAATAAATTGCAACCACTGTTTCCTGACATCGTCCACTTTAGGATGCCCAAACAAAGACGTTTGGGCACGGGGGTGAAAAAAAAAAACAGCGTTTCTTCGACATGGCGAAAACTTGACGCTACAGCAGCTCTTCTTCTTCTTCGTTTTCTCTGATGCACTAACTCTGCAGCAGCACTTCTTCTTTGTCGTCGTCTTGTCTGATGCACTCAACCAAGCGTTCTAACCACAACCTCGCCCCTCCCTAACCCCCAACCATTCGAATTTCCATAAGCGGGAATTATTTTAATGATACTCTAATGGGCCGCTTTGTGACATCACAAAACCCAGGAAAGCAACGCTGTAGTCCAAATGAGCCGTTCGTTTAAAGTTCTTGAAAAGGGATTTTTTAAAAATGAAGTATCTCCCTTTGGAGGGGACTTTGAGATTTGTAACTTGGTAGATCAACATACACAAACATACACACTACACACGGACTAAAATGCAAAAAGTGAAAAAGCATAATAGAACCCCTTTAATTACTTGATCATGGTAGTACCCTTGCTGTTTATGCAGGGTCAGAAAGCTCTCGTATTTTATCAAAAAATATCTTAATTTGTGTTCTGAAAATGAACAAAGTCTTACGGCTTTGGAACGACATGAGGAGGAGTAATTAATGACAGAATTTTAATTTTTGGGTGAACCATCCCTTTAATATACCTGACTGAAAGAATGCATGCACATGGACATCAGGGTTTTGGACAGGTAATTAAATAGTTGGTAATTGTTCCAGCTAACAAACGTTATTGAAATTCCCCTGACGCATGTACGCCAACTGCTGACAGCCTGTTTCCCAAAAGTGCACCGTCATGTTCACTCACTGTCTGTTTGCTATTGCTATTGCTTTGCTAACACCAGACATTTCTTTGCCCATTTGTTAACGCAACCTCGAAAAATATATCAGTGCGAAAGCTTCAGGAAGGTGTTGTGTAAATCACTCCCTGTTTTGCCGTTTTATTCTGAAGGATATTTTGGCAGGAACCAAATTCTGGATGGAAATCATTTGAAGTGTGTTAACGTCTGAGAAACAGTCAGGAATTGTTTCTGTTGATGTCTTTGCGTTAAAACTGTCATTCGCACCAGCTGGCAGATGGACCACCAACAGTAGGATGAAGATCCCTTGGCTTTGAGTGTGTGTTGAACGTGAAAAATCAATGCCCAACAGATGTACTGTCACGCAAATCCCCGCTAGAATGCCGTGACTCTGTCACAGTAACTCAAATAATCACATTCTGGTGGCTAAGAAGGCAAAGACTAGCATATATCACGGTGATTTGCACTATTAGCCTGTAAATTAAGTACTGTACTAAGGATGTTATTGCTTATTGTTATTGTTATTTTGAATTAACTTTTATTTTTATATTTTCAGGTTTCATTTTAATTTTAATTTAAGTTTAAGCAGTTGTTATGAGTTAGGGTTAGGGGGTTTTAATGGAATTATTGCTTTTTTGTGAATATTTCTGTTAGCTTTATATATCATTTTCTGTCCTGTTTCTACTATTTTGTCACAAAAATGTTGTTGCCTGAAACTTCACTAAAGAAGTTAATTATATCGGACATACAATACCATTTTAAAGTTTAGAGTCAGTAAGATTTCTCTTTTTCTTTTAAAGAAATTATTGTAGTATTATTTATATACTGTTATAAGAATTTTTTTTTGTTTTTCATTTGTTTTTTTATATATTTTTTTATTTTATAATTGTGTTGCTTTAGTTTTTATAACGTTTTTAATATTTCTATTTGGCTTTAATTTCTTTTTCTTTTTAATTTTAGTTGAAGTTTTAGTCATTTTTATGTGCTTTTGTTATTTTTATTTTTATTACTATTTTAACTGTGCATTTATTTTTATTTTATGTTTATTTTATATTTTCAGTGTTATTTTTGTTTTAGTTTTTTTAGTAACTGTGATTTTTGTTGTTTCTATAACTTTTAAATATTTTATTTAGCTTTAATTTAATTTTATTTTAAGTTTTAGTAATTATGTGTTTTGTTATTTTTATTGTGTCTTGGATTTTTTTTTATTATATTTAGTTTTAATTTATTTTTTCATAATGTATGTTTGATTTTTATTACTATTTTTAATTTTGCATTTATTTTTATTTTATATTTTCAGTTTCATTTAAATTGTAGTTTGTTGTAGTAATTGTTGCTTTTGTTTTGTATAACTTTTTAAATATTTTTATTTAGCTTTAATGTATTTTTCTTTTTAATTTTATTTTAGGTTTTAGTAATTGTTGTGTGCTTTTGTTATTTTTATTGTGTCTTGGATATTTTTAAATATATATTTCTATTTAGCATCAATTTATTTTTCATTATGCAGTTTGTTTTGTATTTTAGTTATTTTAGTATTTTATTTTATATATATTAAGATTTCCACCGAGTGTTTTCTTTCAGCTTTATTTTAATTAACTAAAATATTTTTTTAATAGTTCTATTTAACAGTAACAACACAGCTTGCAAGAGACTTGTGATATTTTGGGGTCCTATATATTTTTCAGTTTCATTTTAGTACTCGGTTATGACCTGCTCAGTTTATCATGTACTCTAAGTCAAAAATATTAAGGTCAAATCAAATCAAATCAAATTAAATTAATATTTTAAACATTTTAAATATTAAATTAAATATTACATTAAATTAACCCTAATTAAGGGTATAGCTTAAAATGATCAAGCCATGTTTAAAGTCACTAAAATAAGGTGTATTTTCAACAGGAAAGCCCACGTGTCGCTGCGCTCTGGGTTTCACTGGTCCTCTGTGTGAGAAGCGTGTTTGTGACGGTTACTGTCTGAACGGAGGCACATGTGACATGACCCTAGGGAACCAACCCGTGTGCCACTGTCTGGCAGAATACACCGGAGAACGCTGTCTACACCGTGAGTACCAGTCTGTTTCATTATAAAACTTTTTTTGGTTCATTAGCTCAATTCTGATATCTACTACAGGCATCATAGGCTGCTTATGCAGAGTATCACACTGTTAGCTTAGTAACACGCTAATGTCAAACTCTGCGAGCAGCACTATTTTGACACTTAAAACACTTGAAATTAGACAAAACCATTTAGTTTCTTTGCAGAAGAGGTCAAATATGACGGGAAGTTGGCATACATTGCTTCAGATCAGTCATAATCGTCTTTCTTTCTGTCTGATGGCAGATATTTGTCACCATTATTGTGTGAACTCCAAAGGCTGCACACTGTCCGGCTCTGGATACGTGGAGTGCGTGTGTCCCACCCGCTACGAGGGGCCGAAATGTGAGACGGACCGGTGTCTCCGCTGCAGAGGGGCCCCGTGTATCGTAGACGAAGAGACTGGAGATGTCGCCTGCAAGTGTGTATTCAGTAAAGTGACAATAGCAGTTCAGCACTAATTTATTATATAATATTATGCAATATATCTAAATGTGAATATAAAATAAGTGTGAAAAGTAGTGGTGTCAAATTATTTTTTTACATAATGTATGTGTGTGTACTGTGTATATTTATTATGTATATATAAATACAAACACATACATGTATATATTTAAGAAAAATATATTTATATTAGGGCTGTCAAAATTAATGCATTAACGCAAACTCATTTTAACGGCACTAATTTTATTAACGCGCAATTAATGCAGCACACATTTTCTGTTTGACCCGTGGCCTAACCCGTAGTTGGAGAAATGGAGATGCTCAGTGTTGCCAACTAGATTTAGCGACTTTTTTTTAAAAAAGCACCCAGTGACACTTCTAGTGACTTCTTGGATAAACCTTATTTTGAAACTCGCCGGTACTGCGTTTCAGTCACTATTTCATATTCTTTACAAATTAATGCATTAACGCAAACTCATTTTAACGGCACTAATTTTATTAACGCGCAATTAATGCAGCACACATTTTCTGTTTGACCCGTGGCCTAACCCGTAGTTGGAGAAATGGAGATGCTCAGTGTTGCCAACTAGATTTAGCGACTTTTTTTTTAAAAAGCACCCAGTGACACTTCTAGTGACTTCTTGGATAAACCTTATTTTGAAACTCGCCGGTACTGCGTTTCAGTCACTATTTCATATTCTTTATGAACTTGTCTGACAACAGAAACAGTCAAATATAAAAATGAAAACAGTTTTATTGAGAATTTGGCTGCATCAAAATACAGTATGTGGACACCGAGAGACAAACAAAGGTAATAATAAATAATAAATGTGCATCATGTTCAGAAGAAGCGAGCTGCCCTGTCGTGTGAAAATGTAAACAGGCTTGTGTAAGTAAATTGCTCAGAAATACCAGGTTCCCATTACTTCTCTTTGCACTATGTTCTTTTTATCATGTGTCTAATAGACATGAACAAGTTTTTTGAAAACCGTCTATGACCTGTGAAACATGTCTAGTCTTCATGCTCTGTTGACTATGGTTTCACTAATGATAAACATACATTTGCATAAGGCATCCATATGTGTCCATGCCCATGTTGATTAGAGTATTAAAAACGTGAAAAGTATTCATTAAAGGTACATTTAGAACAGATACAAAATGTGCAATTAAGTTGCATAATATAATAGTACAAATATAAAATAAGTGTAAAAAAATATAAAACTTTGTATTATTGTATAATATAATAGTACAAATATCCTACACATTTATTTATTTAAATAGACATACATTATTTTAGTGTACAAATATGTTATATATATATATATATATACTAATTATAATACAATTAATAATAAATCAAAAAATTTGCAAATATTCTATTATATACATATTATTATATTCTATTATTTTAGATACATATTTTATTTTATTTATTTAAATAGGCAAAATATTTTAGTGTGCAATTGTGTGTAGCATTTCATATTATGTACATATAACATATTATTGAAATTCTAATTATAATCAAATTATATTATATTTATTTATATTTTATCATATACAACTATCATATAATTAATACATCTATATTTTTTCTATATGTGTGTTTAGTACATTTAACAGTATATTTTTAAATGTTTTTTTTTTGTGCGTATATACTCAATTTATTTGAACAATTCATATTCCTTGATGATTTAATGACTCCGTATCAAGATGAAACGACAAGATTTGCATCGAATTTCATTGCTGCTGTTGTTCACTTGTGTGTTCGCAGCTGTACGAATGGCAGAATCGCAGCCAGCTGTCAGTTGTGTGACGGATACTGTTATAACGGCGGAACCTGCCACCTCGACTCCGAGACGGGCCTGCCGTTCTGTCAGTGAGTAATTTCTTAATAGCTTTCTACAGCAACAAATTGCCTGCCATTATTTAGATTCATTCTTTTTAAATTGCTCCCTCCGGCAACCACTTTAATAGGATTTTTTTTCTGCTCGTCTGACTTGGGAGGATGAATGTTTTGTAAAGGTGAACAAGAGAGAAGGAGTATTATAGCAGAAGAGTGAATTATCTTAGCAGGGGTCCATAATCTGCCACTTATATCGACCTCTATATTTGTATGTTAGAGAGAGGCAGAGAAACCAATGAGGGACGCTGGAAAAAAATGCAAAAAGACAGAAGCAAGCTGTAAAACTGAAGAAACTAAAGTGATTCTACTTTCTAATTCATCCCTTCTATTATAAGGACAGTTGTGAAGTGAAGAGAAAAAAAAGTGCTTCTATTTTCCAGTTGATTCATGCTAAAAAAGCCTTAAAGGGACAGTGCACCCAAAAATTAAAATATAATTTCATACAAATCTCATTTCTAAACCTGTATAACTTACTTTCTTCTTCAAAACACACAAAATAAGAAGTTTTTAGAAGAAATTAAGTCACTAAAATGATTAATTGACAAAATCAGACTCTGACAAGATCTAAAATAATGATTTAGTCATGAATCAGACTTTTCTACGTTTCTCAAGAACACACCAGGGTGAGCTCATGAATGACTAGCCAATCACAACAGAGCTCATTTACATATAGTCTTAAAGGTACAGTAACACAACAGCCTGTTTCATTTAAAAACTCAATAAAACATTGGGAAATGATCTGAAAGAACTAAATTACAACATTTTTGTGCAAGAAACCTTGACATTATAAGTGGAATGCTAAGTATGTTATTTCTTGTGTCACCAAATTTCTAGAGAAAAAAAAATATAAAAATGAAGAAAATAAATCATTCAAAATGTAAATCTCATTTCATCCAAATCTCATTGCAAGCCTTTATGACTTTCTTTCTTCTGCGGAACACATGGGAAAATAAATTCTTAAGAAGAAATTAAATTACTGTTTTCCAGGAAATTACAATGAACAGGAAGTGAAGCTTTGTACCCCTTCAATTAAAAATGCATATGCGCCATACAACTGTAACAATTGTTCATACAACTTGATTGCAATATTCTAAGATGTCTGAAGCCATACAGTAGTTTTGGGTGCGTAAATTAAGCCATTAAGCGCTGTCACTCAGATTTGTGAATGAATCGTTCAGATGGGTTTGTGAACTGAATCAAATGATTAATTGACAAAATCAGACTCTGACAAGATCTAAAATAATGATTTAGTCATGAATCAGACTTTTCTACGTTTCTCAAGAACACACCAGGGTGAGCTCATGAATGACTAGCCAATCACAACAGAGCTCATTTACATATAGTCTTAAAGGTACAGTAACACAACAGCCGGTTTCATTTAAAAACTCAATAAAACATTGGGAAATGATCTGAAAGAACTAAATTACACCATTTTTTGTGCAAGAAACCTTGACATTATAAGTGGAATGCTAAGTATGTTATTTCTTGTGTCACCAAATTTCTAGAGAAAAAAAAACTATAAAAGTGAAGAAAATAAATCATTCATATTAAAAAAAATCCCTTGAAGGGACAGTACACCCATAAAATGTAATTCTCATTTCATCCAAATCTCATTGCAAACTTTTATGACATCCTTCCTTCTGCAGAACACATGGAAAAAAAATCTTAAGGAGAAAATTTATATTTTCCAGTAAGTTACAATGAACACGAAGTAAAGCTTTGTAGCTTAAATTAAGGATGCAGATGCCCTATAAAACTGTCAAAAGTGGTTCATACAACTTCGGAAATGTCTAGAGAGAGAAAGACTATAAAAGTGAAAACAAAATGCCTTAAAGGGACAGTACACCCCCAAAATTTAATTCTCATTCCATCCAAATCTCATAGCACACATTTATGGCTTCCTTTCTTCAGCAGAACACATGAAAAAGGAAATTCTTAAGGATAAATTCAATTAAATTACTATTTTCCAGGGAATTACAATGAACAGGAAGTGAAGCTTTGTAGCTTTAATTAAGAATACAAACGCACCATGCAACTGTCGTTAAAAATGGTCCAAACAAGTTATTTGCAGTATTCAAATTCATTTGAAACCATACAATAGTTTTCTGTGAGTAATTGTGTGAGTAATGTGAGTCACTCAGATTTTTGAATGAATCATTCAGATGGATTTGTGAACTGAATCAACTGATTCATTGACAAAACTGGCCTATCTGATTAACTTCCACATCATTGCATTCTGTTTTTATTCACAATTTGTACAGTGTCCCAACTTTTTTGGAATCGGGTTTGTACATTTAGTCTTAAAAGTACAGAAGCAAAACTGCCTGTTTAATTTAAAAACTCAGAGAAATGTCGGAAAATGGTCTAAAAGAACTAAACTACAACTGTTTGGTGCAAGAAATCTTGAAATTGTAAGTGCAATTCTGAGTATGTTATTTCTTGTCATCGAATTTCTAGAAAGAAAAAGACTATAAAAGTGAAAAAAAAAATTTAAAAAAAAATAATAAAAAAAACGGGTTACTTTCCAATTCATTCACATTGAAAAATCCCTTAAAGGGACATTAAAACCAAAAATTACAATCTCATTTCATCCAAATCTCATTGCAAGCCTTTATGACTTCCTTTCTTCTGCGGAACACAAAAAAAAAAAAACAAGGAGAAATTGATATTATTTTCCAGGAAATTACATTGAACAGGAAGTGAAGCTTTGTAGCTTCAATTAAAAATGCAGTTGGAAAATGGTCAAAAAATGAAATTACATTTTTGGCGCAAGAAACCTTATTATTATAAATGGAATACTAAGTATGTTATTTCTTGTGTCACCAAATTTCTAGAGAAAAAAAAAGACTATAAAAATGTAAATGTAAACTCATCTCTTTCGAAGCTACTTGACTTCATCATCATCATAAAAAAATATATATATATATCTTTATTTATTCCTTCTCTTTCTAGCTTGTACTTATTTGAACAATGTCTAGAAACTTGGTATTACAAGCACTTCCTGTATCTGTTTGCCTCTTTAAAAAGAATCGCCTCATGTATCCCCCAATTGTAAGTCGCTTTGGATAAAAGTGTTTGCAAAATGACTAAATGTAAATGTAAAAATGAAGAAGATAAATCATTCATATCAAAAAATCCCTTAAAGGGACAGTACACCCAAAAATGTAATTATCATTTCATCCAAATCTCATTGCAAACCTTTATTACTTCCTCTTTTCTTCAGAACACATAAAAAGAGAAATGTTATAGAGAAAAGTTATTATTTTCCAGGAAATGAACAGGAAAGTGAAATGAACAAAGTGAAGCTTTGTAGCTTCAATTAAGAATGCAGACACGCTATACAACTGTCATAAAAATGGTTCACACTATTTATTTCCAAATATTTTAAGATGTCTGAAGCCATACTGACTAAATTGACTATTGATTGACTAAATCAGGCTCTCTGATTGACAAGATCTAAATGAATGATTAATTCATGAATCAGAATTTTCTACTTTTATGAGCTCATAAACAGCTAGCCAATCACAACAGAGCTCATTTACATGCAGTCTTAAAGGTAGAGTAGCAAAACAGACGGTTTCATTTAAAAACTCAGTAATAAGTTGGAAAATTGTCTAAAAGACCTACTGTAAATTACAACATGTTGGTACAATAAACCTTGACATTATAAGTGGGATGCTAAGTATGTTATTTATTGTCACCAAATTTCTAGAGAGGAAAAAGATTATAAAAGTGAAGAAATTAAATCATTCATATTGACAAATCCCACTTTTTTGAGTACACTCCAAAAAATAAATTCTAATTTCTTCCAGATCTGATTGCAAACCTTTTTGACTTCCTTTCTTCTGCAGAACACATGAAAAAAGGCATGAAAAAAATAAGTTACTATTTTCTAGGAAATTGCAATGAGCAGGAAGTGAAGCTTTGTAGCTTTTGTTAAGAATGCCGATGCGCCATACAACTGTCCTAAAAATTGTTCACACAACTTATTTGCAATATTCAAAGATGTCTGAAGCCATTCAGTAGTTTTGTGTGAATAATTTCAGCCATTAATCGCTGTTTATGAACTGAATCAACTGATTAATTGACTAAATCAAACTCTCTGATTGACAAGATCTAAACAAATGATTAATTCATGAATCAGACTTTTCTACTTTTCTCAAGAACACATCAAGGTGAGCTCATGAATGGCTAGCCAATCACGACATAACTCATTTACATATAGCCTTAAAGGTACAGTAGCAAAACACCCTGTTTCAATTAATGCTTTGAGAAAGGTTGGAAAATGGTCACAAAACACTAAATTACAACATTTATTCTGCACGAAACCTTGACGTTATTAGAGGAATGGTAAGTGCATAGTTTTTAGTGTCACCAAATGGAATTGCGAATATAATAATCGCTTTTAAGCAAGTGAGAGAAACCGACCACAATGAAATGGACGCAGAGTAAAACCATTTTTCCGCTAATAGCGGCATATATATATATATATATTCATAAGTGAAGAAAGAAGCTGATAGATGGATGGTATAAGAAAGCTGTTGAGCCATTGTACAGCTACTGAATGCAGCAGTGGACGTACTCCATCGCTCAGAAATGATTTGAGTTTTGTCTGGCTGCCATGAATCCCTCACTGATGGAGTCTTTACTTTCCTCTTCAACACACAATAAACCCTACCAGACTAATATATATATACAGTGGGTAAAAACCTTCTCCAGAGTGCTCAGGACCTCAGACTGGGCCGAAGGTTTACCTTCCAACAAGACAATGACCCTAAGGACACAGCTAAAATAACGAAGGAGTGTCTTCACAACAACTCTGTGACTGTTCTTGAATGGCCCAGCCAGAGCCCTGACTTAAACCCAATTGAGCATCTCTGGAGAGACCAAAATTTAAAAATTTAAGGGGGTCTGAATACTTTCCGTACCCACTGTATATATATATATATATATATATATATATATATATATATATTTTACCTGCCTCCATTTTTCTTGTTTGCCAAAGGCATTTTATCTGGAGGAACAGGAGATGGTGCTCCCTCAAAAACATTCAGAGAACAAAATAAGAGTGCAAATCACAATTTTTTCCTCAAGGAAATCAGTCTGAATGGATCAAACCAGTGAAAATGAATGGGATGCCAAACATCAGCCCTTCCAGGAAGAATAAGTATTCATAAAAGCATGAATCACCCTCTTAATGTCAGACCAAGCAAAGTCAGAAGTCTCTCAAAGTCTCTTCCTTTTACGCGTTCTTGAAGAAAATCTCCCTTAAAGATGGATACAATCCTTTGTTGGCTTTAGCCATAACACCTGGTCTTCGTTTCCATAACACCTGGTCTTCGTTTCCACTTCTTTTTCCCATTTCTCGTCGCCATTGATGCTCGGATAAAGCCATTGTGTCTTTCAGGGCCGAATCAATTTGCATTCAGATGATTCAATCTTGTGTTTTTCGTTGGTCGCTGAAGGTGAAGGGTCGGTAATGACGGTGGTAGACATTCAGAGATTACCTGGAAAAATGAGTGTGTCCTGCTTATATAGACCTGCTTGATTTCAAACCACCTCATCAAAGATTCTTTTTTTTTTTGTCTTTTGTTTGTCCGTCCTCTATTTCATTATCTAATCCAGCAGTGTTTCATTAGAGTTTGCTATAGTGGGTATTAGTAGATGAAGGCGGCTGGAGATACTGATAGAGTTTTGTGTTAAATTCGAATAAAGGACTTGTGTGTCCAGCAAGTTTGTGGATTTCATTTCATTTTGATCATATTCCTAGAAGACGTTCTTTAAACAGCAGATTTGCTTTCGGTTGTAAACAGGCCCATAGTAGCTGGTTTGTTTTATAAAGCAGTATGACAGCTGATAATTGATATTGTGGATTTTTTTTTTTTGCAATGTGACTTTCTCTCCAAATTCTCATTACTGCAGTGAATCAAAGCATCTAACATTTGACTAAGGTTTGTTGTCAGCGGAGATTGACATCAGTGTGAAACAAAATCTTTAAATGTACATTAAATGCATTACAATAATGGAATTCAGACTATTTATTTTAGGTTTTTATTTACTGATTTATGTGATTTATTTATTTGTTCATTTATTGTGCATTATGATGATGAGAGTAATATTTTATTTTTCTACATTAATATAATGAGTGATTTATTTTCCAATTATTTTGCCTCGCATTCTTGAGATTGATTGGTTGTGTAAATGTAATAACAATGATAATATTTTATTTTACTTTATTTTACTTTACAGTGATAAAGTATATATATATATATATATATATATATATATATATATATATATATATATATATATGAAAATTTATGTTGTTTGCTTAATTAGATTTTGTTTTGCAGTGTAATACAAATTAATTATTTATGTATTTTATTGTATTTGTTTTTGCATTACAATACTAATAATTGTTTTTCATTGTGGTAATTAAATTTATTTATTTATTTATTTATTATGGTAATGAGAATGATATTTTTTACTTTTTTGCATTATAATAATGAGAATTTGTTTGTTTGTTTGTAATGGGAATGAGATTTAATTAGCATTTTTGTCATGAAAATTTATTTTTTTTGCATTATGATATGAAAAAATTGTTTTGTTTGTTTGTAATGAGAATAACATTTATTCGCATTATGGTCATGCAAATGGATTAAATTTTTTTTTGTATTATGATACTAAAAATCAGATCATTCATTCATTGTAACGAGAATAAGATTTATTGATGAGATTTATTTTGCATTACGGTAATGATAATTATATTATTTAATTAATTTATTTTAAATTTTTGTATTGCGGTAATTGTCATGAAAATGTCACAAAGCAAAATATTTTAATAGTCCTAAAAGCAGGATTTATTTGCTTTATGCAGCATAGAATTTCATGTGAACTATTACCCAGGCATGTTCTTAACAGGTTTCGTGAAATTCACCCTAATGTTTGTGAAAAGACTGAACAATATTCATAATTTATTTGAAAGTTCACATCACCCAGCCTTATACAGAAGGGCATTACAGCCTACAGGTGTTTTGAGTATATTGAGGATAGAGTTTGAGTGTATTTCGGGTCTTTTTTCTGTTGTGTTGTCCTCACGTCTCTCTTCTGGTCTGGTTGCGTTCTCCTCAGTTGCCCGTCCGAGTTTAAAAGCCTGAGGTGTGACGAGAGAGCTAACCCGTGCGATCACTACTGTCAGAACCAGGGCGTTTGTTCCCTCACCACCTATAACAAACCTCGCTGCAAGTAGGTCTTCCTGGTTCATTCAGTTTCCAAAACATTCCAGTACATTCCCACAATCCCATCCGCCGCGGTCAGCATGCGTCTGGGCTGTTCGTGGAATAAACACGCACAAACATCGCAAACCAAGTCGCACAGCTTCCAAGAGCACGTTTCACATTTCGCATTGCACTCCGCTTTTCCGGACACACGCCGCCATCTCTCCGCACCATGCTGTAGGTGTGCGTTTCTCAGTGTTTGTTTCATTTGTATGTTTGTCACGACTGGTATTTTTGAATATGTAATAGTGGTTATCGTTCTGCATATGCTGAGGACAACCTGTCTTTGATTGCTCTTCTGGTATCCATTATTTATCATCTTTTTTTTGTTGGAAAATTCATAATTTCCTTTATTTGTTCTCTTTCCATTTTGCTGCTCTTTTGTTTTTCCATATTTGACATGTTTTTCTGCTTTTCGTTTCTTTTTTTCTTTCTTTTTTTAAACGTTGCTCATGTTTAAACAGGGCACTTTTCACAAATATAGTACACACGGTGTGTCATAATGTTTTTTCCTCGCAAAAATAAATAAATAATGGAATTTATTTATTTTATTTGTTTATTTATTGATTATATGTTGTTTATTTATTTGCTTGTTTGTGAAGCCTATTAAATGTGTTTTATAAACTAATATATAACATAAAATGGACCCAGCATGAAAACCTGCTGTATTTCAAAGTAGAAAAATGCAGTATAAATATATATATATATATATACATATATACAGTATATTTCACAATCTTTTTATTTGTAGGATATCTAAATAAATTTGTAAAATTATAATTGGTACCCTATCCATAAAAATGTCCTCAGACATTTCCAAGCATTTAGTTTTATCCAGCAAAATAATTTTATCTAGAGGGATTTTCCCACCACGATCTGTTTCTTCTAGATGTTCTGTCACCTTCAGACAGCAGTGCATCCTCCTGCAGGAAACAGAATCCCTGTCCACAGGAAGTTTGATTAAATATTGCTTTCGAACAGTTTCATTCACGCCACCATCTCTCATAAGCACATAATCTCTCACATCCCTGGAGTTCTGCTGTGGACGCATGTCGTTTGGATCCAGGAAGTCCCTTGTCACACAAACTCACACTTTGCATGTGTCTCAAGTAAAAACAATGCATCCCTTGGGCTGGATTTCACAACTCCTCCTGTGATTTAAACTGCGCGAGTCATTAAAACTTGCTTGTCAAAACCAAAATCATTATAACAAATGGTACCATAATAATGAATAAAGGAAACCCAGAGAGAAAAGAAAAAAAAACTAATTATTGAGGTATAAGGGGTAAATTAAAACTGTTATTTTGTATAAATCTAATCAAATGATTATTTGAAGAAGTCAATGCATTATAAATTTCACTATAGATTTTTGTTTCTCCTTCTCTGTTCACAGGTGCTCTGCAAACTGGTCAGGAACACAGTGCGAAAGACCCGCAACCAAGACCAACCGCTCAGAAAACTTTAGCGGGCGTGAGTGTCACAAAGACACAAACTTGTGAAACGTCATCACAATCGCAGTTAGATTCCAATGGTGTTTGTTTTTAGCATGTCGCTAAGCTAATGGCACAAATATATAAAAAAATGTATGTAATGCCATAAATATTGGGTGAAATGTTCTTTGTAATTAGATCGTTCTCATTATTGAATTATTTTATACTCCGCACTTCCCATATAGTCCACCATTTTGGATGATCATTGCAATGCATTCTGGGATTGCCTTATTTAAGCAAATTAGAATTTGGCCAAAACAAAACATGTTTAAAGTGGTGTAATTCCTTAATAATAGTCAGTCAGGAGAGAAAACTGAGTTTGTAGTGATTAACATTCCCCTAATCGTCAGTCAAACAGTGTCAGACAGTTCATTCATTTCATTTTTTGAAAAGAAGAGTTGACATTTTAGCCATGTTAGCTAAGAGAGGTTAGCCGTTAGCATCAATTTGAAAATCATGGTAAATTGTACTTATTTTGTCTTCTGGAAAAATGTAAGTATATCCTGTAGCTTCTGAAGGACAGTACTAATGTACACATCTTCATTCTGTTCAAAACTTTTCAGCCCCCCCCCCCCCCCCCCCCCCCCCCCCCCCCTCTTCTACCTCTCATAATCTC